AAAGGTGTACTCATTAAAATTTAACTAACCGATTACACATTAGTACAGAGGTCACTTACCTGCATGCCGTGTTTTATACGCGCCACTGCTCTGGTTATTTTACGGGTAACGAACGTTTCGCCCCGGCGTGGACTTTCGTGATTAAATAGGATTCCATTGCATGCATACATCCCATAGGCTTCACGATAGTTTACAACAATCCAGTAAGCGTAGAGTTTTGCACAACCTGTGGATAACGATGTTGAAGGCAGTTAATGAGCGAGTGGTAAAATGGAAGCCTTCTGAAACCTGAATTTAGCCAGCGAAGTAAAACGATAAGGACTTATCAAAGGTAATTAAACTTTAATTACTAAAAAGAATTAAAAAAAGCACGTAGTGAATATAAAATTCAGATATAAGAGATATTAGCGATAGGTTCCGAAGATAGATGTAAGAATTCGTGAGCTTTTTTGCGCGTGAAACCTGTACCAGTACGTAGCATAGTTCTAAAGGCATATGGGGAGAGAGAAACGAGCACGTAGAATAGACTCCTTAACGCATTTTCGCATAGAGAAATAAACACTAGGCGTACACTGATCAAAAATAGGCACTTGAACGATGTTAAAATCTAATTCGCAGACTGATTCTTGCATCGTTGGCTGGTGTGATTCAACAGTCAAGAAAATTTGCCCATACCATATGGAGAGCGTGGATAGAATGGAGTCGTCTCCTTCTGTGGTGTTTCCTGGACCTTTCCATAAAGTTCACTGGTTGAGGCCTGATAAAATCGGACAGTTTTTTCAATTCCGCTTGAGCGGATAGCCTCTAGCAATCTTGTTGTTCCAAGAGCTACTACATCTCCCGTGTATTCACCCAGCTCAAACGATACCTACAGATTCGCTTTGAATTCGGATATTCATACCTGCACATGAGACTGGGCAGCCAAGTTGTAAACTTCATCTGGTTTTACCTCCGACATGAGCCTAGATAGATTTGAACTGTCCGTCAAATCACCATAATGAAGGAAAAATGTTTCTAAAATCATTATGGTCAAAACACATAAAGCGAACGTTTATTCCGAAATTTCACAGGATCCTGATAAAGATGCTCCACTCTTGCCGTGTTAAATGAACTAGACCGCCGAATGATGCCGTGAACCTTGATAAATTCGTGAGACTAATCAACTGACTAGATCGACTTACGATATAACCCTTCCTGAGGAGCAATTCAGCTAGATAGGATCCATCCTGTCACATTTTATGACAAAAAAAGTTTTAATTTACTTGGCCTGTTATTCCTGTGATAAGTGCAACCTTCGGCTTAACCGGATCACCTCCAGCTGCCCGCTGAGAATTTCCAGCCATCTCAAAATGTGACTGCGCAGACGTAAGGCGACTGATTTTTATACTGTCCGCACATACGGGCGCGTCTCTTATTGGTTCGTCGTGCGTGTGTTCGTGCGTGTGGTTCGTCGTTCGTGTGTTTTAAGGGTTTTTAAAACGATAGGATTCACAACACCGGGTTCACAACACAATTGTCCAACTACAATTGGTGGTCGTGCCGTTATTCAATGGCCATTTACAACTCGTAATCCCTGGCACTTGTTTTATTAATAGTATTGTTTAAGTTCAGCGATGATACCCATGTGAGCATTCAAGAAGTCAAGATAGGCGAACGAAC